GTAAACACACACCAGCGATAAAGACAGCCTTGCAAAGGAGAGGACAGAGGATGGTATTGCTGATGGACAGCACACGTAATCAGGTGTGCTGCACACGTAAATAACAGGAAAATAGACTCCACGGGTCCACCTATGCCCAGGGACTCCCTGGGGAAGGTGTAAATGCAGGTTCCTAGGCCCCTAAGGCAGTCTGAGTCATTCTGACTGGGGCCAGGACTCCTCACTTGTAGCAGTTGTCCCTGCTGATGCTTTTTATTTTTTTAATACCGGCTTTATTGAGACGTAATTCATATAGCATAGAATTCACCCTTTTAAAGTGTACAATTCAAATTTTTTTTATTATTTTAGCCATTTTTTTTGCAGACATCATCACAATCTAATTAGAATATTTTCATTACTCACCCCACCCCCTGAAAAACCCACATCTATTAGTGGTCACTGCCAGCATTCCCTCCCCATCTCCAAGCCCCTGGAAACCAGTAATCTATGTCTGTCTATGGATTTGCCGATTCTAGACATTTCATGTCAATGGAATCAGACAATGTGTTGGCCTTTGTCACTGGTTTCTTTCACTTCATATAATTATTTTCACATATCAGTCCTTTGTCCTTTATATGGCTGAATAATATTCTATTGTATAGATAGATCACATTTGGTTTGTCTATTCATCCGCTGATGAGGCACACATAAGAAAATGGTATGTGTGCACTTTTCTTCAACACTCTCATTGGAGGGGGAAATCTGGGCTCAAAAGCAGAACTCCTACCATAGGAAGACTTTGGTTGCTCGCAGAAAGGCCATTACCTTGTATTGCTACTGTCTCTCCCTCACGTGGTGCTCTAAGGGCCTGGTGTCTAGTTGCAGTAAGCGTTTGGTGCAGACATGATTTAAGCATTTGGGGCAAGAGTGCAGATTGCAGTTTTGCCAAGTATGGTCCTTGGTTCTAGATCTGAGGCAGCAGTGTAGCTGAGGTATAGACACGCATGTTTCTCTTGTTCCTCACCAACTTCTCCCCATTGTTAAAAGATTGGTTTCCTTTTTGAAAATACTCCAAACATTTTTGAAATGTAAAGAACCCCATGTTAATAAGAGAGACCAATATTAATTAATGTTTTGTTTGCTGAAGGGATGATGGAAATGAAGCTCAGGAAGGAGCTTCCCTAAGCAGACACAATAGGAGTTGTATTGTGTGACTGTGCTTGTGTGTGTTTTCCGTCTCAACATACTTCCTGTCTGAAAATACTTGCTCATAAGAATTCTCAGTTGAGAGAATGACTATTTTTGTTCTGCTGTGATTTTTATGGTTACTTCTCAATTTTGTCTCCTGCTTTCTGTAAGCTGATAAAACTAAGAATTTTTAGAATCATTGACACCTAACAGCTTGTTGCTTCATTTGCAACACAATAAAAAACATTTAAAATTTAATTTTGTTATAGAAGCAGAATGATGGACTATGGGTATTGGCATTTAAAATACTTCTCTTCAGGGCCTCCTTGGTGGCGCAGCGGTTGAGCGCTGGGTTGCGAAGCTGCCCGCAGCCTCTGCAGAGCCGGTTCGATCCCCGGCTGCTCCCTGGCCACCCGGTGAGGGTCCCACATGGCACGCAGACCTCTCCTGCCTCTCTCTGGTGAGAGAATTCACCAGAGCCAGAGCGGGGAGCAGAGCAGGCAGAAGGACCGAAGTACACTGCTGAGGGGAGCAGCGGGCTGTAGAAGAGGTCTGCACGCTATGCGGGACCCTCCTCCGGTGGTCGGGGAGCAGCCGGGGATCGAACCGGTGTTGCAGAGGCTGCGGGCAGCTTCGCAACCCCGCGCTCAACCGCTGCGCCACCGGGGAGGCCCTAAATAAATAAATAAATCTTTAAAAAATAAATAAATAAAATACTTCTCTTCAATTTATAAGAGTTTTTTTTTAATGTATGGAAATATTCAAATATACAAAAAAATGAACTTTCATGTACCCATCAGCCAGCTTCAAATTTTGAATAACATTTTTTTTTATTCCCTCCCTCTCTCTCTTTGAATAACATTTTAATTGTAGTTAAAATTATTAGTACTAATTAAACCCATCTGGGGAATGGTACTTCTATTTTTATGGGAAGCAGTTGAGTGGGAAAATGTGTTTTTACCAGTCATGCATGCATTATTTCTCCTGGAAACCAGTCTGTTTGGATCACAAGGCCAAATTACCCAGGAAGAAATAAAGGACCTTGAGTTGTATAAAAATCATATGAGGCCTTTGATTTACATGTTTAAATGTAGGCTCCAGGCTGCCCCCAGTCAGTGTTGGTACATCAGAATGATGCCGGGAATCTGTATGTCTGAAAATGTCCCCAAGCTCACCGAAACAGGTTCCAAGTGGGCCACACTCAGACGCAGCACCATCTTGTAGGCCCAGACCTCTCAAGTGACAGTCAAGTTCATTGTGGTGGTTTAATCACAGAGAACTCCCTCCCAACTAGCAGGTCAGTCTGGACCTGCCACCTGATTAATGACTCTTAAGCATCAGAGACAAGAAAAGGTAGGGCCAGAATTTCACGGGCACAGCATTTTCTATTCCTCTGTGAGTTCAGACCTCACTGCCCCCACAGTTCCAGCCCTGGAGGCTCCCTTGAATCTGAAACATGGCACCCCCCGTTTCTCCCAAGACGTGGATTTCATTCTGGAAATCATTAGTACCTGAGGGGAAATGAGTTCACTTATGTACCTTGTTACTTAGATGCTGCCTGCCATCTTCCAAGTCCATACAAGGAAGATACTACATGTCTGCATTAGACACAGTGGGCTTTGTCCCTTTTGTTAAAGTTCTGGCTTCCTGGGAAGTAAAAGGTAACAGTTTCCTTGGGAGAGAGCGGGTTCTGGGGCTTGGTGCTGTCCCTGAGGGCAGAGGCCATGTCTTACTCACCGTGAAGTCTCCAGAGCATCCTGCACAGGCCTGGCCTCTAGTCATAGTGCCAGTGAAAGATGATGCCAGCCTGACAGGAAGAGAGTGGGTAGGAGGAGCTGCTCACAGGGAGCAAGTCTGCGCTGCTGAGGGCTTGGCCTGTGGAGGCACAGTGCCGACTTGAGGGGGGCGACGTGCAGGGCGTGGCCATGGTCCTTCGTGTCTGATGGGGCCTCTGCCAGAAGCAGCACAGAAGAGCACTGTCTGTGAACCCAGCCAAGTGGAGAGGCTCCAGAAGCTCACAGCTTTGCAGAGCAATGTGAGCGGCATCCAGTTTCTTCCTGTCCCTGAAAGGCCTTTTGGGGCCTCCTCCATAAGCAAAGGGAGAGCCCTGGGACCTGGCTTCTTTAAAGGATTTTCTCTCAGGGCCTCCCCTAGTGACGCTGCCGTTGAGCGCTGGGCTGCGAATCTGCCCGCGGCCTCTTTGCAGTGCTGGTTCGATCCCCGGCCGCCGGCGAGGGTCCCACATGGCGTGCAGACCTTTCCTGCCGTGCCTGTATTTCGTCACTCTGCCTTTTCTGTTCCCTGCTCTGGCTCTGGTGGATTCTCTCACCCTCCCACGCTTCTGACTGTACCCAGTGCTTGTATAAATAAATAAATAAATAAATAAATAAATAAATATCCAAAAAAAAAAAAAAAGGATTTTCTTTCAGTGCTGACAGACCCCAAATTGTAGGGTACCCCATCATTGGGGAAGCACAGCTGAGTCCATGGACGGCCCTGAGCTCCATCCCTCTCCCCAACACACAGTTGCTCAGGCCTCTTTCTTTTTCTTGTTTTTCGGGCCACTGTTCCCTAATCCCCCTTTTTTAAATTTGTTACCCGTGTCAACTCTCCCTTCCCTTTTGTCTCTCTCCCTCTAGCCTCCCTCTGCTCATTCCAAGAGTTACGTGGATGTTAGAAGCCCAGCCCCTTGATTTGTTGAGGGGAGGAGATACCCTGGTCAGGGCCTTGGGCAGCTACCCTGTCATCTGGCAGGTAAACCGTCCTGGAAGAGGGGCCGGGAATCTTGAAGAGGGGGGAGGAATTTTCTGAAGGTGCAGTGGAAAGGAAACAAGAATGTGAACCTCCACCATTTCAGTTCTCATTGCGCGTCCAGGCAGGGAGTTCTCTCTCTGTCAGGAGGGACCAGTCGTGTCCTCCGCTTTATCCTAGAATGCTGGGCTCGCCCTGCTGGCATTCCTGATGGGTCTTCCTGGCCACGTCCACCTGAGCAAAGGCCAGCTGTCCTCGTGCTGAGACAGAGTTCTGTGGGGACCTGCTAACGAGATAACGTACCTTGGTTGCTTCAGTTCCTTCGATGTCGAGCACAGGCAGGGATAGAACTGCTGTGGCTTCTGTACTGGACTGCTGCTTGGTAGCGCCCAGGCCTCTTGTCCAACTTTCAGACTTGAGGTGCTCCGTGGGATTCCTGGGTTTGCCAGGAACACCTGCAGGTTTCCTTAGGCCAGACGGCTCACCCAGCAGCGTTTCCTCAGCCTGGGTCCGGAGCAGCGGGAGTGGCTGTCCTGTCCGGCCCTGTGGGTTAACTCGGCCCTCATGGCCAGCAGCGCGTGGTATGCCCTCTGGGCAGGTGGCTTATTTCTTGTTTCAAATAAAGTAACAGTTCTTCCGTGGAGTCTATTAGCTCGTCACAGGTTCTCAGAGAGCCAGAAAAACTGCCAGGTTGTGCTGGTATTTATGTTTTGCTTTTGAAGATTATATGCTTTCTTAAAAATTGTGATTTTATCTAAAAGGTCTACACACCACACGCACACACACACACACACACACACGGGAAGAGCTTGGCATGGAGTCTGTGTCTGGGTGGACCTTAAGATTCTTTGCCCTTATGTCACCCCATCTCCCCCATCCCTCCTTCCTGGGTCAGGTTCTAAATGGTACATTCTCTCTTTCTCTCTCTCGCTCTCTCTCTCTCAATCTCTCTCTTTCACACACACGCACACGCACACACGCGCACACACTCTCCCAGGAGGACTCTCTTGGGGATAAGTAGTTTGGGGTGTGGGCCCCAGATTTGCTGTTGTGGCTCACAGCGTGCCTCCCTGTTCCCCCAGGCTACTCGGAGCTCCTCACGGTGCTGACATGATGACAGTGTGCAGGCCGGCCCAGGGCAGCCACAGCCAGACTGCAAACCTGAGCTATAACTTGGCTGACAAGTAAGAAGCTTCTCCCCCAGAGTGTGGAGCTGGCCCGCAGTCTTCATCTCCTGCCTTCCCCTCCTCCTGGCCCTCCCTCCCTGAATGAAGGGGGCCTCTGCTAAACCTCCTGTAAATCATCTCACACTGCTGCTCTTGGTTGAGAACCTGATACCAAGTGGTCTCGTCTCGCTAGTGTCTCTTTATGCGTCCCAGTCCGGGGTCTTCTTTCTGCCTACTGGGACCCATGGGTGTTTTAACTATCTGGTGTCCTAAATCGCTGCAGCGATCGCTGTCCACACGGCTGGCTTGACCCCTCTCCTGTTAGCAGGACGTGTTCCCCCCAGAACATTCTCTCATGCTCTGCCACGGAGCAGGCGATCACTGAACCCTCGCAGCTCTGAGTGGGCGCCAGAGCCCCTTGAGGGCCATAGAACCCTGCAGACAGGAACTAGAGAAACTTGGGAGCACTCTGCCAGGTGACAGAGGTTTCACCATCGTGCCTCTCTAGCCTAAACTTTGTCAATCCATTGTGGTCTTTGGGGTCTTTTTCCCTCTTCAGCTTTTTAGATGTGGCCACAGTGATTGTGAACGCACTCCAGATGTTTGAGATCTTAGCCAAGAACTTCGATCATTACAAGCTCACTAGTTACATTTATTAATATGAAGACTTATAATGTATGCACACTCTGGGCATATGACATCTGTTAACTCATTCATTCACTTAATACGTATTTCTTATTTTTTTTATTTTGACATATTAATTTATTCAAATACCAGGCTGATGACACATGGTCCAAGAACACGCAGATAACAAGCCAGATATCACCAGATGTTAAAGGCTGGTCTTCAAGCATGGTAGCCAACAAGGCCACGCTAGCCAATGAGGCCACACTTGCCTGTGATCTTGCTGACAGAGAACCACGTCCACACCTCAGTGGGCACTGAACCACAGCAGAGCTTCCTTAACTGGGAGCAGTTTGCAGCCACCACTTTAGGTGCAATGGCTGTTTTTGTCAAGCTCTGAAAAGCTGTAGGGATCTCAGCAGGGGTTGGAGGAACCAGCTCAACCTTGGCAGAGTGCCAGAGTGTGGTGCCAAAATGTGGCCAATAGAGGCTTTAAGTAAGCCACAGCGGCACTCACCAGAGCCGGGCCTTCTCCACAAGGTAACGGACAAACTGGGCCACGGTTCTAGAAGGGAAAGCCCGTGGCCCTGGATATCTGGCTGAATGTCACCCACCCTCTAATACATATTTGTCGACTAGCTACTCTGTGCTGAGCACAGCAAACAAGATGAATTTGACCTTTGCATTTACAAAATTTCAGTGTAGAGAAGAGAGAGTTCTTCAGATGAAAAAAATGGAACCAAGATTCTAACCCACACCCTGCTGACTCTAAACCCTTGTATTTACCCACTGTGAAAACAGCACAGATGGTATGAGGGACTTGCCATTATTATATATTATGGTATCAGTACATTATATCATCATGCTGCCAGGAATTACACATTATAGCATCAGTTGCCACTCAGCATGCACTGACCTGGGCTGTGTTGCTGTGTGTCTGTCCTGTCTCTGTCTTGCTTTTAGCACCATGATTCCAACTACACTCTGAATCCATGCTTGTGTCCCCAGGGGGACAGGACAATTAAAACTTGTGTTTTTCTTTTGGAGGCACTCTGTTATGAATGCTAATTGTTTATTTAAATAAGGAATTCAGCCCTGGTGGCCATATTTAACATGAAAATGTGTTTGCATTTTCACACGTTTCTAATTTATGCTCTGCAACCAATAACAGCAACACAATTTACGTGCTAATGTCCCAATCTAGGGAGAAGTCTTTACATAAACAACTGTTAGTCTTTGGAATTGAAAGCAAAGTAGTAACAGGATGTGTGAAATTGCTAATTATTCATCCCTCACCGTGATCCTTAATTGGGGTTTCAGAATTCCTATACAGTCAGGTCTGTATATTCAGAAAATGTGCCTGTCGAAGTTGGTCTGTGTGTGTTTGCACATTTTGGCACATCCAAGGTCACCGTGTGAAGTTATGGCCTCCACATTGCATTTCCAAACACACACCTGCCCCCATTCTGCTTAGACTGGCTAAAACCTCTTTTTCCTTTCAGAATAATTTTTAACATCACTGATCTCCTGAAATCACATTCGGAGGCATATATCTCTCCATGTATGTTTTAGGCCAGAACTTTCGGCAATGATGGGAATATTACTCTGCTCCGTCCAAGGTGGCCACCCTTAGCCACATGCGGCTCCTATGATTGTGACATGCAGCCAGTGCAAGTGAGGGACTGAAGCTCCATAAATTTGATTTATGGATAAATATTGGGTTGTGGGCATAATCATGATGCATTTTTGCTTGAACACATGGGAAAATACATCATGACTTTTCCGACAAGCCAGTAGTCACATGGTTAGTGGCTGTTCTATTGAACAGTGCAGTTCTAGGCTACGCATGAACTCTGAATCTGCCTGTCATTCACGTAACAAATATTTACTGACCACCTACTCTGCCAGGCATTGCTCTGGGTGCTAAGTTTCAGCCAAATCCCATGAAACAACCCCTTATCCTCATGGAGAGGCCAGTTTAGTGGGGCTCCCATCCTGGAGGAGGTGCAGCCTGAATGCAGCCAGTCATGACACTCAAATGAAGACAATGAATCGAGGTCAGAATTAGCAAAAATTTCATGACTTATGATGCAGTTGTAATTTTTTTAAAATATTGATTTATTTATGCATAGAAGAACTGGGGTATAAGCCAGAGGTGTGGTGGGTGAGAGGGTCACCAGAGGCAGAGTGGGGAGCAGAACAAGCAGATCTACTGAAATACGCCGCTGAGGGGAGCAGCAGGTGAGACAGAAGAGGTCTGCTGCGCCATGTGGGTCAGCTCCTTGGCCGGGGATTGAACTCAGGCCTTGGCGGTGATAGCGCTGAGATTTTAACCCATAGGCCACCAGAGAGGCCCCAGTTGTAATTTTTAAATAGTCATTACAAGGACCCATCTGTGGACAAAAGAAGCAGAGGAAACTTAGACTCTAATTTTTTTAATCTCATGAAATCCCTCCTGTGTTCATCAGAGAAAAATCTAATAGTGGTGAAAACCACCGTCTGTGCCACACTCGTGACTTGCTAGATGCTTTGTGTGGGCTGCCCCTGCAGATGTTTACAGCCACCTGTCAGATATGTGTTGTTATTACTATTCCCATTTCACAGGTGAGGAAACAGATTTCGAGAAGTTAAGCAACTTGCCCAATGTCACACATCTGACCAATAGTAGAATTAGGATTTAAACCCAAGTCAGATTGGACTCCAAATGTCCAGTAGGTCCTTTCATTCCACCATGCTGTCCCCCAAGGAGAACATAAAGTGATTTCTTTCAAACGGTGGTTTCCCTGTTTGTGGTTTGCAACAGGCATATGGCATTTGTATCTTGTTCTAGCAAGTTTGTATGACCAGCCAAGGGCAGTAGCCAAGACGCCCTCACTCAGTGTTTGTCTTTCTTGTTCAGGGTCAAGGTGAAAGGTACAGGGGCTGGAGAAGACCCTCGAAGGCAGCCATTTAAATCCTCCATTCCTTTCCGAGAGGCTGATCAGGACTCACCCTCCAGAAGAAGCCCCATAGAAAGCCTCCACAGCCTGATGCTGGAGCCGAGAGTGGACTGTTTCTCGAAGAACATGTTCAGCTCAAACATGATCATCAGCGACCCAGCTTCAGAGCTCAGTGCAAAAGAAGCCAGCAGGGCTGGGAGGAAGCAGCTCGGGGGTCTTCCAAACCCCTGCCCGCCTGCACGAGGTGGGGCCCGGCACAAGTCCCTCAGCATAAAGGACAAGATATCGGAATGGGAAGGGAAAAAGGAGTGGCCGGCTCCTGCGGCTGGCAGGAAAGTGGACGGGCCAGAGGCCTACCTGCCGGCCTGTGTGATGGAGAGAAGGAGGAGCGACGGGGGGAGGACTCGGGTCGCAGAGGCGCAGAATGGAAGCAGGCCAGAAACAGAGAGCCCGGAGAAGGAGAGGAACAAAGGGGTGCTGAGAGTTGGGGGCCAGGATGCGGAGCGGAGGCAGGATCTCAGCCAGCCAGACAGGGAGCTGGCTTCAAGCATGGCCGGGTGCCCCAGGCTCGGCAAACAGCGCCTTCAGCACGACAGCCTTTCCGTGCAGAAGCAGGTCAAGAAACTGGAGCAGGCGCTGAAGGACGGCTCGGCAGGGCTGGATCCCCAGTTACCGGGGACCTGTTACTCCCCACACTGCCTGCCGGACAAGACAGAGGAGGGGCCCTCCCTTTTTGAGACCCGTGGGGCCGGGAGCGGCTCAGAATTCAGGAGCCACCCCTGGGACCTGGAGGCCAGGGCGCCCGCCCAGGAGGCTGTGGAGGAGAGGAAAGGCTGGTGCTGGAGGCCCAGCGACCAGGGCCCGGATGGCGTGTGCCGGGGCTCGGAGGGCAATCCCCCAAAACCCTTCATCAACCCCCTGCCCAAACCCCGGAGAACGTTCAAACACGATGGAGAAGGGGACAAGGATGGGAACCCAGGCATGAGGTTCAGGAAAGAGAAACGGAACCTGCCTCCTCTGCCCTCCTTGCCACCCCCGCCCCTGCCCTCATCTCCGCCCCCCTCATCTGTGAACAGAAGACTGTGGAACGGGAGGCCCAAGCCCAGTGCCGACCACAGGTAAGTGACCCGTGGCTGCACGCTGCCCGGCAGCCGGCTGTCCTCCCCGTCTCGGATTTATCAAGCTGAGAGCTGGGGTACAGACCAGAGGTGCGGGGGGTGAGAGGACTCACCAGAGACAGAGTGGGGAGCAGAACAGGCAGATCCACTGAAATACACTGCCGAGGGGAGCAGCGGGCGAGTCAGGAGAGGTCTGCTGTGCCATGTGGGTAGCTCCCTGGCCGGCCGGGAATCAAACTCATGCTGCAGAAGCTGCAGATAGTTTCACAGTGCTGTGCTCAACCCCTTGCACCACCAGGGAGGCCCAAGGTGGCTTATTGATTAAACCTGGAAATTTGAGAGCTGATGATGCCCTGTCCTCAAAAGAGTATTTGCTTTTTAAGAGTTGCCTTTAGGAGGTGATAAGTGCTTGTCATTCAGATGAAACCCATAGTTGCATGGAAACTTGTGTTGACACTGGCAAGCCCTGATGGTGCTAATTGATTGAGGCCCCTTCTGCCACCTCCCCTGACTAGCAGGTGGTGCTTTTGGAATCTTTCCTGCCTCTTCCTGCGGTGTTTTTCTTGGGATGGGCTCTTGAAGCACACTGCCTGGGGCTGCCGGGCCCTGTCACCCTCTGTCTGTGTGACTTTCAACAAGTCGCTTAACTTTTCAAAGCCTCCGTTTTCTTCTTAATGTATAGGCGTGTAGTTACATAGCTGCACACCCTATTTTATAATACCAAAACCATACCTTTGATAATAGAGCATGGGAGTGCCTGGAAATAAAATCTGTGCTTTGGAAGGAATTTATTTTCTGCCTTGAAATCTAATTTCTTGTCCACGCCTATCATGTGCTAATTGGTTTGACACTCACTTGTCTGGAAATCAGTTTTAGAGCAAAACTCCTCAAAACGCTTGTCTGTACTTATTGTCATCATTTCTTCTTTTCCTTGACTATGGCTCGACTTTGCCCCTTATCCTGGAACTGCCCTTGAACTGTCCTTGACCAAGGCCACCCACCACCTCCATCCTGCCAAATCCAATCGCCAGTTCCCTCTCCTTTTCTTACTTGACCTCTTGGAATTTGAAGAACAAGTTGACTCCCTCCATCTCGAAACACTGTCTGCACTTGGCTTCTAGGACACCTCCTTTCCTGGTCGTTCTCTTCCCTGTTTGCTCCTCCTCGGTTCCATTCTCCTCTCTCTCCATGTGCAGACAACAGCCTCCTCCCCAGTCCATCCCTGTCCCGGGATCAGAGCAGGTTCTTTTCCATCTCCATTCACTCGCCACATGAGCTGCTCCAGTCCCGGGACTCTAAATCTCAGTTACATACTCCGGAACCCCAAATCTGTATGTCTGGTCCTAACTCCCTCTCCCAGGTTCAAGTTTGTATCACCATCTCCTGCCTGGGTCTCCATCTGGTTATCTGATAGTTTGAACTTGACATGTTGAAACCTAAACTATCAACCCAGGTCACCACGAACTCTTTCCTCCCTATATATTCAGGAATTACCATCGTATTAAATGGCGCTGCCCTTCATTTTGCTGAGACCAGAAACCTAGGGGTTATCTCTGATTCCTGTCCTTTTCACTGTCCCCCCCCCCACCATCTGATTCCACCTAAGCCCTTTGTTTCTAGTTTTAAACATGATCTTGAATCTGACTATATCTCTTCCACTGCTACCACTTTAGCCGTGTTGAACCCACTCCCTACCCCCAGTGTATTCTTTCCCTAGCAGCCAGAGGAGTCTTCTAGAAATATAGATCCTATCCTGTCAATATGGCCTGTCAGGTAGTGTTCCTTTGCCTGCAAAAAATCATCATTTCCTATATTCTCTTCTAGGGAGAAAGTTGCATGTTATAGAATTGTATATGCAGATAAATTATAACCTTCTAGATAGGCAATTGTGCTATGTATACTGTTTTTTACTTAGTACATCGAGATCTTTCAATGTTACTTTTTTTTCTGCTTTTTTTAACTGCCACTTTCTCTACATTATGTGGATAAACCACATTTTATTTAGCATTCCTCTACCAATGGATGCTTAAATTACATCCAGTTTACAAATAATGCTATGATGAGTAGTCTGTAGCTTTCGAGAAGACTCTAGAAGTAGAACACTTACTAGTTCTGTTGCTAGCTATGTGACATTGGATAAGCTACTGAATTGGCGTTGGTTTCATTCTGCTTATTTGCAAAATGGTGGTAATTATAGTAACCACTTTATAGGTTTGTGAATATGATTTTAAATATAGGTTATACATAAGTTCAAAAAGAGCGCAGCTATATTGTAAATGCTCAATAAATGTTAACTATAATTTTATTTTCTTGCTCTATTCTGTTTTATTAATTATAGTATCTATTTCTTTCTAATTCCAAACCATTTCAATTATTTTTAACCTCATGTTTTACTATCTAATAGAGTTACAGAAATTTCTTATTGTTGCTAATAATCACAGTTAATTCTCAGTCACTTTATTCTCTTGGACATCTTACATATACTATCATATACACATTTTTAAAATGACCTTCTGAGCTCCTTTTTAATAATTGTAAACCCCTTATTTATTTCCATATTATTTTCCTTTTTCAAAAATGTCTTCACTATTCTTTCATGTACTTTTCCAAATGCTCTATATGTCACTAACAAAATTTTATACACATTTAACATGTGTTAATCCAACTTCTTTTTTTTTTTTTAAAGAGGCATGCATTATTTATTTATTTGTTTGTTTGTTTGTTTGTTTATACATGCACTGGGTACAGTCAGAAGCGCGGGAGGGTGAGAGAATTCACCAGAGCCAGAGTGGGGAGCAGAGCAGGCAGAAGGACTGAAGGACACTGCTGAGGGGAGCAGCGGGCGGCAGGAGAGGTCTGCGCGCCATGTGGGACCCTCCTCTGGTGGCCGGGGAGCAGCCGGGGATCGAACCGGTGCCGCAGAGGCCACGGGCAGCTTCGCAACCCAGCGCTCAACCTCTGTGCCACCGGGGAGGCCCTAATCCAACTTCTAATCCAAGTTCTATATATTTGCTAAATTTATTCTTTTGTAATTATTAATATGACCTTTTTTTCTCATTATATGATCCTTGTATTTAATTTATTCTTGTATATTATCCTTTTAAGACTCCTTAAAGAACTGTCTTACTGTTTCTAATAGTTTATCAGTTGGTTCTCTTGAAGTTTCTATGTGCACAACCATAATATCTGTAAAGAATTATCACTTTACTTTTTCCCTTTTTAGCTTATACCTCCAAATTCTTTGGCTTACCAAATCACACTGGAAAATACTTTCAGGACAGTGGTAAATGATACTGCCAGCAGCATCAGGCAGCCTTACCAGTCCTGACTTTCCTAGGTGTCCCACTCCCAAGCGCTGTTATTTGAGATATGATTTTGTTACCAAGGTGATATTTGTTTATTTTTTTTCCAGTAGTCATACTCATTTATTTATTTATTTATTACTACGTTTTACAAATTAGGATTGAGTGCTAGAGGGTTTTTTTTTTTTAAAGAATTATTCCTTTATTGTAAGATTTATTTTATTTATTTTTTGCATAGAACTGGGATGTAGGCCAGAGGTGCAGGGGATGAGAAGATTCACCAGAGACAGGGTGGGGAGCAGAACAGGCAGATCCACTGAAATACACTGCTGAGGGGAGCAGCAGGCGAAACAGGAGAGGTCTGTGCCATGTGGATCAGCTCCCTGGCTGGGGATCCAACTCAGTCTGTCACGGTGGTTAACACTGAGACACTGAGACTCACTCAGCCCCTAGGCCACCATGGAGGCCCTTTTTTTTCAGCAGGTGGGGAGAGGAAATATTAGATTTTGTCAAATTTTCAGCAACCATGTATGGTCCAAAGGTTCTGCTTTGATCTCTTGAAAGTGAATTTGTTCCCTAATTATTAACCCATCTATACATTTTTGGAATGGACTCCCAATTGTTCCTGGTTTATTATTCTTTTACTGCACTGCTGAATTCTCTTTACTAGTATTTTATTTATATATTTGTCTCAGTATTGCCTACATGGGACTGGCCTATGAGGACTTTATTCTACTAGCTTTATCAGACTCTGGTGTCAGAGTCATGTGAGTTCTATGGAAGAATCCAGAGGCTTCCTTCTTCAGGTTCTGAGAAAGTTTGATTCCATCTTTGACTCTAAATCCTTTTCCAAACCAATGCCAGAGCCCAGGTGCCTAAATGCGCTCGTGACTTTTCTGCTCCTGTGTCCAGAGCTTCGGCAGAGCAGCCTCCACGCCCTCTCTGGGCTGTTCCTCCAGAGAGGCTCCTCTCCCAGCGTGGTTCTGGGAGACTGGAGTTTCATGTCATCACTGACAGACAAGACAGTCCAACCTGGTAAAAACAGTTTTCCCCATTATCTTTTTCTCTCCAGGCTGCCATTTGCTCTTTTCAGCCTTCCAGTGTTTTCTTTATAAAACAGCTAAAGATACTTATTTTCAATCCAGAGGTGAATATTTTCTTGGCCAGTTTGAATATGGTTGCATCAGCTGTGTTTTAAGAATTTGGCTTTGGCTTTTTCTTTCTGTTGAAAATAGTTCAGTGGGGGTGATTAGGGCAAGATGTTCACTTTGTCCTCTTAGGACAAGCTCGTTCTTGTGGGCCTATCTCTTGAAAAGAAAAGAAAAGGCTCAACTCTGGATCTGGCAGACTGACTGCCCTCTCTGAGGCTGGAAAGCCAAGCCAAGGCTGAAGAAAGAAAAGATTAAGGACTCTGAGGTTAGGAAGGTTTCAAGTTACACGGCCAGGCTGTGCGCTTTAGAGGACACGCTCCCCGGTTTCCACCCGCCAGAGTCCAGCCGAGGATTCGGGTCCTCACGTGGAGAAAACGCGTTTTCTTGCTATGCTTATAGGTCCCCCTTTTCTCTCTCCTCTCTGCTTCCTCCTCCCTTCTTCCCTTTTCCGTCTTCATTTCTCTAAAGCCCCAGGAAATGAAATACAAGGACTTAGGTCTTCAATCCTAAAATGGAAAATGAGAAACCCTCAGATGTCGGGAAATTC